AGGGAAATAAACCCTGAATAATATATAGTTTCGTTCAATAAACAATGCGTAGGCAGGCAAACCCAGTGCATGTTTCTTAATTATACTATAATAATATATCTATATATACTATTATAAAGAGGAAAGATTTATTTGTTTGTTTGCTTGTTTGCTTTTACCGAATAGGCGCCGAAACTATTGAACCGATTTAGATAAAAGGTAAGAAGATAGTTTGAGACCCTGGAAAAGACATAGGATAGTTTTTATTCCGGAAATCATCCCTAAAGGGGGTGAAAATAGGGATGAAACTTTGTATGGGGAAGCAACCTAGGGACGAATCCGAGCGAAGCGAGAGATAGTCGCTAGTTATCGATAAATTCTAAATCAAACAACTTGTAGCACTCGGTTTGTAACAAAAAAAAATACTTTTCAATAATTTATCTTAAATATTAATTTAACATAACCTGCTGTAATATACTTAGTTACTTTATCTTAATTTGTCACTTTATCTCAAAACATAATCAAGTTGGCAACCCTCGGCGCCTGTGAAAATATTTACTTTGGAAAATTATATTCTCTCATCAATAAGACATTGATTCGATAACAAGACCCAATCGAAGTCACTCTGAATCGTCGACTAGTTGTATTTTACTCGGTAAATAATATAAGGTCGACACTAACTAATATGGAAACTTCGTACACATACAATTTATTATATATTTGACTTTTTTAAATTATAACACGTAAAAAAAGTCTTAAAAGTATATTATCTATAATATATTCGTGAAAAAGAAATCGACAATACAAATGTTTTTCTTAAAACGACCTAAAAATCCCTTAAAAGTGGTTATTTCATAATAATGAATGTTATTAAGTAAAATTTTATTGAAATTAAATGAAAATAATCTTGGAAGAGCTATAAGTATTCAAAAACAAAGAATTAATTGAATAGTATCGCGTAATATACACAGATACAACCCAAATGCACCTCTTGTTGTTGGTCAAAAATAAACTCATTTTCGACCGACCTCTGGTTAGATAAACTCAATTAAGTCGGGCTTTCTCTATACATTCTCCCGCAGAAACCCATTACATTCAAACCAGGATGAAAAGTAAAAATCTTTTAGCCGTACGTTGAAAGCAATTATTTCAAAGTTGTTGTTTCGGAGGTGAAATGAATGCAAAGAAACAGAAAAAACAAAATAATTAGCTATGGTGTAATAAAATATTTCTAAAAATTTGAACCTTATAAGAGCAGTTATTTTGAAATCACAGACAGACATTTTGATTTATAAGTATAGATAGATTATCACTAATGTGGCTTACGTTGAGTTTACGCCATAATATTCATTTATATCTTACTAATATTATAAATGTGAAAGTTTTGATGCTTATATGTTTGGATGGATGTTTGTTACTCAATCACACCAGAACGGCTGAACGGATCTGGATAAAATTTAGCACAGAGAGAGATTATAGTCTGAAATAGTATATAGGTAATTTATTATCCCGGAAAAATATACGGTTCCCGTGGGATTGATTTGTTTTTGTTTTTCTAGAGGTGAACCCGAGCGAAGCGAGCTAATTAAATAGATATAGCTAATAAATTTGTACCCGAGCGCTGTCTATAGGTACATGGAAGATATTTGAGAAAAACCCAAAACAATTACTTTAAGAGAGTTTTTGTGTGTTTGTCTGTGTGTTTGTGCGCGATAATCTCAGAAGCGGCTTAAACAATTCGGCTGCGGTTTTTTCTCGTATACCTATAACACTAAATGTTAAGTGAAGCTTATCACTATAAGCTTCACTTAACATTTAGTGTTTGTTTTATTTCAATCAGTACATAAATAACAAAGGTATGTCAATTTAAAGAATCACCTAGGGACGAGCCCTAGCGAAGCGAGCGTGAGTCGCTAGTACATAATAAAGGTACACTTTTAGATAAGGTTAAAATAATAAAGTAAACCGTAAGGATTGTGATAACTATATCAGTAATAATATCATGCATACGAAAATTTATTTGCTTTCGCTTACGCTTGAACGAAGCGGATCGATGTGATCTGTTGCGTATAGATAGTTAATGGGCTAGAAAGTGAAATAAGCTTTTATCTCTGTAAGTTAAGTATTTCATGCAGGATATTCATATGTTACAAAAAGAAATAAATATTTGTAAAATCTTATTTTTAAAAGATTAGCTTTTAATTTTTACCTTAAAAATTATAATTTCACTCTTATTTATAGATTTTTTTATAAGGCACACATATGTATCACGTAACATAGAAACAAAATCATCAAACCGAATTAGGGACTCATCCTTTTTTTAAGGCGGTTAGAAAGTGATATCAACACGCCTGTATAAGAACGATAAAATGCTTTCAAAGGTTTTAGCGTCTTACCAGCCGCCAACAGACTGACAATACTGCTATTCACTAAAAAGTTTACTGACGTCTTAAATGTACTATCTATGTAAAGTGGTAAGTTTTATTATATGAGAATTCATTTCAATTCAATTATTTCGACTCTTAGACGTTCAATTTAAGCACAATTTATGTACTTTTACGAACTTATTTTGACTGGTGAAGACAAAGTGAATGTCTAGAATTTCTTTATTTAGCCTTCTCGCCTTCGATTCTTCCGGTACTTCGTGACCTTTTACAATAGACTAGTACCCACAGGAAACACTTCCTGTTCAATAATATAAAGTGGCATTTATCACTGAAAGCGTGAGAGAAGTACGAACCAACATACTTTCACTTTTATTCAATTAATGATAAGATTTATGTTACCAGTCACGTAATAATGTCATTTTGATCAATTTCGGCCACATCAGCCAATCTCAATGAGACTAGGCATCTGTGCAATAGATATTATAGTGCAACGCGTATGCGTGCAAACAAAAGTGCACTCCCTGTGGAGGAAAGATACTTACTACTTACTCTCTGTGATGTATGTGGTGAGAGATCAGGCGTGCTTTCCGAGGCACGAATGTAGGTGTAACACTGCCAACCTCCCAACTCTGATCTGAAAAGTTCTTGACAGAAGAACTCAATAACTTGACCCGATCCAAGACTCGAAGCCTCCGTCCTCCGGATCTACAGTTATACCACAACTATACAATGTACATCCTACGCATTAGACCAGCGAGGCAGTTACAGCCACGTACACAAACTAAATATGTTAGTTATATTTACGAAATCTACTATTGACTGCGAATATTTCAAGTTTACCAAACAATATTAGAAATTTAGAAAAATTATTAATGTTCATGAAACAGTTATTTATTTTACTTAAGATAGGAAAACTGAGAAACTTTTGAAATAAGTATCGATGAGAATATTTATTTACGTTTATTTTAATGGTAAATATAACTTGAGTCTGATTATGAGTGATCACTATGTGGATATGATCATGATTATTTATTATTTGCTAACTGAATTCATTCTAGAAGGTATTCCTCAAACAAATATTTTAAAATTATACTGTAAATAATAATAATCAAAATATGATGATATTATTCACTAACTAAACTAACCCACGTAATCAAACACGAAAAATCAATAAAAATAGTTGATTCTACTCTTTTTTTTTTAATTTTAAAGTTAAGTTAGTAATTACAATTAATAGGTATTACTACTTGAGCTCTGCATTATGCGCGATCACTGTGCGGATATGATCATGATAATTTATTATTTGTTAACTTAATTAATTCTCTCAGGCAAAATCATCAAAAATATCGGACAAGGCTTGATAAAATCTCGTGGTGTCATCAGGTGTGAATTTAAATACATTTCTAAAGCCCTCTTGAACCTACCCATCGACTCGTTGACTTTCAAGACCTACAGAATTCGTTTAAGAATTGAAAATCTGTTTACGAACTCGTATAAGATGATATAAAAGAGTAAAAGTGATTACTATCGATTAGGTTTTTCAATTACTCGATTTTAATATTGGCATACAATTTAATCAGTTTTAGTTTATTTTTTTAATATGTTATTATTTAAAACTAAAATTATTTAAAACTAAACTTTAAATATTAGTTATTAGTTTTTTAGTTATCTTTTAGTTATATTAGAAGAACTATGATCGTAACTTAATCAATCATAATTGCAAATATATAGAAAGATTCATAAAAATAATTTTAGCTATAACTTTAAAACATTTCAATAAACCATGATCTGACCAGTGTTAAAATATTTTATTAAAAAAGCTACAGTTTTCATAATGACTGTTTTGTCTCACACGTTCATAAATTCTTAAAAACTGTCAGTGCTTTTGTTGTTCTATTAGAAATTAGCAACATTCACGAGAATATAACAGATAAGGTAAGTTTTTAAAACCTTATTGTTCTTTTGCACAATACAGTTTAAGTTTTAAACGAAACGATTAATAGTGTTGGTTTCGAATTGCTGTAAAGAGTTAAATATTCAGATATAATAATAATACAAACAACAGAGGCACTACTGAACTATTTGTGAATACTATATCGAGGGAAAACAGCCATTTTGATGCATGATAAACTTAAAATGGTGGCGGCAGAAATTTGGAGGCTGTTCGCTTCACAGCGAAAAACTTTGGGTAAAATTTGATGTGAATGAAATGGTTTCTTTTGTTATGGAATTGTTTTTTTTATTTCTTCCTTTTTATTTTTCTCATCGATTGATAGTTTCGGGAAGTATTTGAAAGTTTTCGAACAGCCTTCATTGTTTGAAACCGCCATTTTGGTAAATATTCACGCTTATTTTTTGTTTACTTTTGACGTGTTTTACTGCAACTGTTCGAAAACTTTGCACAGTTATTTTATTTTTGATATTGTTATGTAAGCATATTTTTTTTAAATGTTTTTATTATGGTATTTGGCTTTTGTGTGTAGTTCGAGCTTATGTTGCGAGTTATTATATTTATATCATCTTATTCAGCTGTTGTTATTATTAGTAAAGAAATTGAGAATTGTTAAGTCACTCGTATTGTGTCGTCAAAAATCTTTTATCTATAATAGTTATTAATAAATTTATTTTATACAGATACGTCTTCACGATTGTCAGCTACTTGATCGGCGTGTTCATCTTTGCAACAATAGTGGGACAAGTTGGAAATGTCATCACTAATAGAAATGCCAATAGGCTTGAGTTTGAACGCCTACTAGACGGGGCGAAGACTTATATGAGGCATCATAAAGTAAGTAAGCATTTGATAAATGTAATACGTAGTATCTATATAATGTTAGGAGAACGATTTTGGCCATGAAAGCCTATCTCACTGCGACTAGCCAACTGCGCAGAAGATACTATAATACACACTGCACAAGTATGCGCGTACAGACTAGTACATTCTCACACTCCGGTGGGACGACAATTTTACATGACCGGTAAAAGTTTAGGCCATGTATGCGGTAGAAGCGACAGCTTTACATGCTCTCTATGGCACGGAAGATAAACACCACCACCTTCCCAACGCCAGTCAGTTTCTGAAAGAGAATTTTTGACAGATAAGATTAATTTACATACCCCAATTCGGGACTTCAGATCTGTTGCCGTTCATGCCAGATCACCAATTCATTTTCTTAACAAATACTGGTTTACTATGGTCAAACCTTGCTGATCAAATTCTAAAATGAATTTCATGTGTGATTAGGAACATAAAATTCATGAGAACGAGTTGTTACCATACTATTTTAACATTTAGCTTTAGGAAAAAATCTTGAAAGTTACTTAGACTATGTTGAAATGTAAAGTAGGCACGTTTTGTATTTTTCCCGGCCCTTACAGTAGAAATGTGTGCACTTGACCTAATTTGCTCGTAAATTACTCTGTAACTTTTGGGACAACAATTAGTGAAAATATAAAAGTTATATTTATATTTCTAAAAGATATTACTATTTTGATGATTTAGAATACAATAATACCTTACGGAAGCCACTTGATGTATCGGAATTTATAGTACTTTGTCACTTTCTATCTCATAAGCTATCTTCATGCAAAAACAAAAAAAAACTGACTTAAAAACACTAAAAAGTAAAAAATAACTGATTGGTAGTTTTCATTTGCCATCTAAATAAATACTAAATATGATATATAAATATGATAGGGTATGAACTTTAATTGTAGTTCATCTTTACTAATATTATAAAGAGGTAAAGTTTGTGAGTTTGTGAGATTGTCAATTTGTGAGTTTGTGACGTTATAGGGGGTAATCTCTGGATCTACTGAACCGATTTAGATGAAATTTGGTAAAAAGAAACTGTGACTCTGGGAAGGACATATCCTTATATCTCGGAAATCATCCCTTAAAAGGGTGAAAATGGGGATGAAAGTTTGTATTGGGAACCAAGCTAGGGACAAACCCGAGCAAAGCGAGGGTGACTCGATAGTAAATTATATTATTATATATCAATTTCTGAGTAAGTTTTGCTTTGATTTGTATCTATTTTGTTGTATTATGTAGTCTTAGATTATTAATATGTCTAAATAATCTATGTATGTAGTATTAAAATATATTTTAAATATTACAATCCCTTGAGAATATAGGATAAACTCAATTTTCCGATACCCAAGAAATATATTATACAAGATTTTGCTATAGAATTTGTTTAAAAAATTTCTTCTTACCTACATTTTATAATCAAACGTAAAGTACTTACCTATAATAAAACATGTTGCAATATCCTTCATATTTTATCATAAAATAATAAACAAAAGGCACTTAAAAGCTTCGTAAGGATGCTTCATTTTGTAATTTTTTAAAAGTCCATCAACTGTATGGATATCGTTGCAAATAATGTAATTGGAAACATTGTTATATGCAACAGTCAATTTTATTATTTTATTATTACAATTATGTATTCTGAAATTATCAATAAGTATATTTTCAACCGACTTCAAAAAGGAGGAGGTTCTCAATTCGACTGTATGTCTTTTTTTTTATGTTTGTTACCTCAGAACTTCGTCATTTATTAACCGATTTGGACAATTTTTGTTTTGTTTGAAAGGTTATACTTCCAGATTGGTCCCATTCAAATTTCAAAAAAAAAATACCACCCCTAAGGGCGGAAAAATAGCTAATAATGAATTTGACCTACTTCTAATTGTCATATTTACTTGAAACTTTGCAAGTGTTTCTATTTCCGTTGATAGTACAGTGGTTCGGTATTGTTGACCTGATCTGATGGTAAGGCCAGAAGGTGGATAGGTGGAACTCTTCACCGACTAATAGTAGATACTTTGAGTTTGGGCTTATTTTGTTTGGTTTGACAAGCCTAACACTTTAGAATCCTTACTTTGCTACTACTGTCTACACTAAAAAGGGAAAAACAAAAACTTTTTAACAAAAAAATAAAAACCGACTTCAAACAAAAGCACTAAAAAGTGAAAAATAACTAATTGGTAGTTTTCGTTTACTATACATACCTAATCAAATATTTTCGAAGTCGGTGTACTTTGGCTAAGTAATTAAAGCCTACCTATTAAATACATACCTAATCAAATATTTTCGAAATCGGTGCCAGCCCATACAAAGCAAAGCACACCGACTTCGAAAATATTTGATTAGGTATGTATAGTAAACGAAAACTACCAATTAGTTATTTTTCACTTTTTAGTGCTTTTGTTTGAAGTCGGTTTTTATTTTTTTGTTATTTTTGATCAATTGAGTGAGAATTTGTATAATATGTGTATTGTTAGTGCTTTGAAGGATGACATTCAAATATTTTATTTATCTTTACTAATTAAGAGATTATACCCACGAGTATTTACATCTGAAAACCTAAACTAATAAGGGTTTGAATTGGTACGCACGTATCCTACAGCGCAATGTTTATTGACCTGACTACAATTATTGAAAAATCGTATCCTAATGTAATATATATAAATAGGCAAAGACAAAAAAGTTTAGTATATTTTTCTCCTCGGTTTGTCAACCAATTTTCTTTTTTTTTAATATTAGTAACTATTGACGAGCTTTACTGTTATCAATAAAAAAACTATAATGATTATGGTCGAATTTCGACCACTGGGCGAAGAACAATATTAATAATTTTGGAAGTCTGAAGCAATGTGACAATTTGTTACTTTAATTTATACTAGCGGCTCACCGTTTCGCTCGGGTTCGTCGCTAGGTACGTTTTAAATAGATATAAATATTAAATAGTTATTAGCCAGCGTTAGCCATATAAATTTTATTTTTTTCGATAATTTTTCTGTTTTAATACTTATTAACCTATTCCGGACTAAGAAAAATCCAAAAAAATCAAATATTATAAAAATTGGTCCAGCCGTTCTTGAGTTATAAATGGTGTAACTAACACGAATTCGTTTTATATATAGATATATATATTACTCTTACCGTACAGGTCCCAGGAGGTATGAAGCGTCGCGTATTACGTTGGTACGATTATTCGTGGTCGAGGGGAAGGATCCAAGGAGGTGGAGACATTAACACAGCCTTAGGACTGTTACCGGATAAGCTGAAGACTGAACTGGCTTTGCATGTAAATTTAAGTGTTTTGAAAAAGGTAATTATTATTATAATATCCATTTACTTACTTTTTAATTTTGTTAACTGATCCCACATTGGGCGCCATAACTTCATTTATTAATAAATATAGCGTAAGGTTTACTAATTTTAGGTGACCATCTTCCAAGAGTGTCAACCAGAGTTTCTCCATGATTTGGTATTAAAAATGAAAGCCTATATTTTTACCCCCGGCGATTCTATATGTAGAAAAGGTATTTTATATTAATATTATTATTATTTATATTAAAGTATTTATTGAAATTATATTTATAATAACTTTTATTTACTTTTTATTCGTACAACATATTTTTGATTTACAAATATTTACATACGTTTAAATTATATTTAAGGTGAAGTGGCACGAGAAATGTTTATTATAGCAGACGGTATTTTAGAAGTAATATCAGAAACAGGGCGAGTTCTGACAATAATGAAAGCTGGAGATTTTTTCGGTGAAATTGGGATTCTAAATCTTGATGGGCTAAACAAGTAAGTTATTTTAATTCGAAGAAGATATAAAGCAAACGAAAATAACAAATCGTTTTACATGAAGTCTTAAGATCTTTGATTAATTTACCAACAGTTCAATTAATATTTTAAGTTTTTTTATTTTTATGGGATCTATCATTTCGTCAATAAACATGATATCACCGACACAACTGATATAAACACACCGAAATATTTAAACATAAAATACTTAATGGTTATTGTGATCCTCAGCGTATGTTATTTTTATGTGAGATTTAGATCGGTGTAAAATTTGGAATAGCTTTAGATTAGATGTTGAAATATATGACGGCGATAAAGTTTTTCATCAAAACTCTTACGATAAAATTTCTTTTACGTATATGTTTTCTTTTCAATAACCTCTTTAATGAAGAAACTTAATATTTCATATCAGTGTCGCTAAGTGTTTTCAATTTTCTTTATTTGAAATAGCTTCATTTGGTGCTATCTTCTCTTTAATTGAAAATTTCCAGACTCGCTCTATGAGTACAATTGCGTGAGCTTATTCTATTTATTTGTATAAAATGCACTCTTTTTTGCACAGCATATTTTTAAATATAATCTCAATAATAAAAATTTAAATTACAGTGAAATATTAAACAGTTTAATCATTAATCATGAATTTATCAACATTATCGATTATTTTATTAGTTTACACTATATTTTTTGTATACAAACTAACTTTTTTATACTTATTATAACAAAATAACTTTTTTTCGTGAATAATGATTGTTTTTAGTTAGTCTAGCAGTAATAATATTATAATTCTCCTTTAAAGAAAATATATTAAATAGTAAAAATACTCTAATAGAGATTTTATTTTATTGCCAGACGTACAGCAGACGTAAGATCTGTAGGTTACTCAGAGCTTTTCTCTCTCTCGCGAGAAGATGTTTTAGCGGCTATGAAAGATTACCCTGAAGCTCAAGATATATTACAAACTCTCGGCAGAAAACGATTGCAGGAAGCAAAAAATATGTCTAGAAAATACGCTAAAAGTAAGTAAAATAATATGATTCTACTATTGCAAGAGTAATCTCGGTTTTAAAGCCGAGTACAAAAATAGTTTAACATATTCAAATGTAATGCCATTTTTTCAAAGTTCTATTACTGCTTTTAACGAATTCATATTTAGGGAATGATAGAAAAAAATATGACTTTCTATAACAAAGATTATTTAAATTGGCCTTATGTTTGTAATATAAATATAGTACATACTAGTCATTGTAATTTCTCAGATGAAATAAGCCCGGATAAAGCTGGAGATGATAGTGCATCTAAGAGGATAGTACATAAACTTCGAACAGATGTTAAGGTTAGTTGTCTATCGTATGGTAAAATCAAAAAATGTTAATGGTTAAACATAGGTTTTCTAACGCCGTAAACCCCATTGGTCATAGAAGAAAAAAATGTTAGCTTTTTTGTTTAGCAGATAAGAAATAAAGCAGTAGATTCACATCATTGTTGTTCTCTGTTGACCATTCAAGGCAACAGCGCTTATATATAATAAAATAAAGGAAAACAATTTAATATAAGATTTAGATGTTCTAATTATTTTTATATAGGGTATAAGAAACGCAATCAGAAGTAGATCACGAACAGGAAGACGCTCTGGAGAATCCCTTGAACTACAAGCATTATCCAGCAGTGAGCCTAAACTCCGTCGTATGCCACGCGTTGAGAGCGATGACTCTCAAGCCCATAACCAAGATGTACGTGCCAGTTTGATTTGTATACAACTAAAACATTCAAAGCTAATACAAAATTTTTTAGCAAAATAATATTTCACTAATTTTTAAATCATATATTTTTGCAGGATAATGAGGAGACTACTTCTGGTAGCAAAGATGGTGAGAAAAGTGTTTCGCCAATCGGAGCAGGTTTACCCCTCCTATCTCGTTTAAAACTACTGAAAGAAAAACAGGTACATAAAGGTTTATTTACTGTCATTATTTAAAATTTCATAATATTTTAGGTAATTATACAAATTATAAGAAAATTTAAAAAATATATCAATTTTAAGTAATGTTGCTATAAGATATATTGTTATGAAATTGACTTCTGGCATTAGAAATTGAAGATGGCCCATTCCAATATCTACTTAATACATTACTATAAAATAACATCTATGTGTTTTATTGCCTTTATATGTATATAAGAGTAACGAGAGTCATTTATATCAGTTTATATACACTTGCAGTACGCGTAATAAGGATTTATTTCAGTACTATTTTGATGATATGCTAAAGTTTAAACGTTTGAAATATTTTTTAGCTTTTATTAATTGTAACAATATGCTTGTTATTAAGTATCTCAAAACTATTGATTCGTGTAATTTTAAATAAAAATTAGTTAAACCTGTTTTATATAAGTGAGAAGATACAAATACTTTGTACATTTTAGTGTAAAATATTAAATTATAATTGTTTTTATTTAAATTCTCAAAATTTAGAATATGTAAAATCATGGATTATTTTGAGCTCGTATCCGTCAATGTACTTACAATTGTTTTAAATTATCAGGACCGCGAAGAAAAAGTTGCAAAGCAAAGGCTTTCGACGTCTTCAGTAATATCTCCTCCTCCGCGTCAACCAACACCTTCAACTAGTTCAACGGCTGAAGGAGAACCTGATGTTATAGGTGCGGGACTTCCCTTATTACAAAGACTTCTATTATTAAAAGCAAAAGAAGAAAGAGAAAAAAATCAGTTAACACCTACTTGCAGTAATCAACCATCCAGTTCTGAAACTATTAGTCCTAGTTCAATTAAAAGTCCTTTGAGTCCTACAGCAAAAAATCTCAGCCCAATTCGAAAAGATTCAGAATCTAGTTCACCGGGTAAAATACAAAGTCCGACAACGAAAACATCAAGAAAAAATTCATCTGGATCAAGTGATGGAACTACCAGACCAAAAGTCAGTTTCAAAGATAAAATATTGCAAGTACAAAGTGATGGGACCGCTGTTTGTCAACCGTTAAGTAAAGATCTCAGTGAAAAACCTGCAGCAGTAGTAGAACCTACTCAAAAATCCGATGGGACTTTAATATCTATACCACATTCAGTAGTCAGTAAAATAAAATCGCCAGCCAAATCTGTGGGTTCGACTTTCCGAGATAAACTCAAAATATTACAAAGTGGTAATTCCTCAAAAGAGAATGATAATTCATCTATAGATAAAAGTAAGGCACCAACTGTAACTGTAACTGAAAATGCTACTGCCGAAATAAATCTAGTGCAGTCCAAAGAAAAGCAAGAAGAATTAAAAAGTAAAAAGCCATGGTCGACGCTTAAAAAAGCTGCTATATTAGGTGAATCCAAAAGTTATAGTAAATCTAGCATTGATGAAAAACAAGTAGAAAATGTTTTAAAAGACACAGTAGGACCCAATCTCTCAGAGAGTGTAAATATAAGTGTACCTTTGATAAGTACAGCGGAACTTGTGAAAATAGATAATAATAATATTGATAGTCAACAAGCCAAACAAGATAAAGCAAAAAGTTACCCTCTAGAACCCGTCCAAGAAAAATCCATAGATTTCTTAACTATGTCACCCAAAAAGAATATTGTGACCAGATCCCAGGATAGAATAGGTACAACTAAAGGAGCATCGCTATCAAAAGATAAAAAATATAGATCAATCGATGACTTGTCTCCAGAATATGGTGGTTTACCATTTGTTAAAAAACTCAAAATATTAAATGAACGACAGAAACTAGCAGAACTTGAAAAAGTTATAAAAATAAGAAGCTCTAGCCTAGACTGTACAAGCTCCTCAGAGGATCTACTTTGTGAAACTCTCACAAGAAGCCATTCCGAAAGTAGTACAATGGATAAAAGGAAATTCAAGCGGAAATCTACAGATTCTGTCGAAAGTCATGGATCCAATGAAACGTTAGAAAGACGTACCCTGAAATCAATATTAAAAAAACTATCAGAAGATGTTACTCCTACTGAAAGTCCTGAAAAAAGTAACGAAATGCGCAGACTAATACGAGCGCCTACAATAGAAGGATATGCGGCAAGACATTCCAAATTTGCTAAAAGTGTAACATTTCATCGACATACTTTACCATCACCTCCTGGAAGTAGTCCAATGGATATGGCAGACGAAGTCTTTGAAATGCCAACTCCCATTGAGATTGTGCAACCAACCACACAAACATCAGACATTAAATTACCTGACTCGCCAGAATTACATCTAAGTAATGTTAGCGTTAACATAGACCCAAAATCAATTAAAAATGCACATGATACAGAAACAAATGTTAAAACTCAATATAAATTACAATCAAATATAGATCCTGTTTGTGATTATGAATCCCTAAGGCCAGAAGATATAAGGGTACCAGAGAAGCCCGAGTTTACCATAATATCCGCTGTAGCAAATCAACGTAAGCTATTGAGAGGTATATTTTTTATTTATATTCAGATTTTGATCATTTTAGTTATATTTGATAATATTTCATTTACATAGAACTGCTTCTTCCAGGCTCAATCGAAGAGCAAGAATATTTTGGAGAAGTTTTATTTGGAATAAAACAAGTAATACAGGGTCATTTACATGAAGTGCAAGGAAAGTTTCAGGAAAGGTATATATAGTTTCACACCATCATTTTGTTGTAGAAATAAAAAAACTATGCATATATACTTTCTTAGATTAATGCGAATATTTGACATTTTAAATAAAACTATCTGTTCGGATTATTCCGCGGACTTATTATGATTTTTGGTTCCCGACGTTTCGAAGGCTTTACAACAATCGGGAGAGACTAAGGTTATAGACGTCTCAAACACATATACTTGTTACAGACAGTGCCTAACCACTATTTTGCAAAAATGATTTCAAAAGTTCAAAAATGGTAATTAAGTACCTTACAATATTTGTTGATATTTATTTCTAAACATTTAAAAAAAAATAAGTATTATAATTAAATAAAGCAATATTATTTATTGTATTTTAGCTGCTATTATTATACATATTACAAATTTTAAAAACTTTATTAATTACTAATATTATTTAGTGTTGCTATTATATGTATAACCATAAAGAATATTAAAAATTAAAAACATTAATTATTTATCTAAGCAATATTATTGTTTTATATATAATTTAAAAGAAACGTCGGGAACCAAAAATCAAAATAAATCCGTGAAATAATCCGAAAAGATAGTTTTATTATGCATGTAATATCTTTACAGATTTAACAGTTTAGAAAATGAAGTTCGAAAGCGAGATGAAATTATAAGTCAACTACAAAAACGTATCCAAGAACTTGAAAGATTAGGTTTAAGATCACTATCAATACCAGCACAGCCTGAATTAGATTACCAATTTACCGAAAATAAAAAAATGGTAGAGAGTCAGATACAATCAAAGAATAGCTCAGGGAGCGAAGACATGTCGGGAAATGAAGAAGGATTTATGGTACTTAAAAATTACTTTTTTAATATAGACAAAAATAATATACCCTTTTTACAATATTCTTTATTTTTTTATGTGTATCAAAGCATATTTGTTTATTTCTTTACCAAACAATTTTATATTAATTATATATATATTTTTTGGTATATATAAACTTCAACTTAAACGTTATATTACTTATAAGGTGTTAAAATAAATAATTTTAAAACATAATTTCAGAGAGGAGATTCCTTAGACACAGTCTTTACATCATCGCCACAAGAAGTAAGTGCTGAAGAATTAAAAGCATCCGATAAAGATCAACAGGCAAAACAAATAGCAAAATCAATAGCGACTGCAGATTTGTCGGAAGAAAAACTCACTGAATTGACAGAAGGAATAGACCTGACTAAACTTTCGTATTCAGAACTACAGAGCTTAGCAGATTCACTATCATATAGGACAGCTGAAACATCATCAAGTAACGAAGATTGCTCTATAAGCAAATCTAAGAGATTAGATTTAAATTTAGACGGAAAAGCTGGAACATATTTAAGGAGGCGTGCAGAAAAGCTAAAGCAAAGAAAATCTTGGGAAGATCAAAATTATCAAGAGTCTATGGAATTACAAGATTTGACGAGGTAAATATTGATTATGAAGCTTCTTATGTATTTGTTAAATTAACACGACTAAAGTATTTTTTCTTTTGTTCCAATAATATCTACATTTTATTATTCTCTTTGTAGTTTCTTTTTTTCGATTTAATTCATTTATAGACTCAAAGTTACATAATATGTATTTAGCCAACAATAGTTGTCTTTTTTTTATTTCAGGCCAATATCACCACACACGACTTCCGAAAACCGTTCTTTGCTCAGTCCCGAACAGTCCAGTCTCCGCACAAGTAGACGAGCAATGCATCCTTTCCATTTCTTCGGCACTCACCTCGATAACACCAAGACTAAAATAAAGAAAACTTTATCAGTTGATACTGGAATGCATCATACAGGACAAAAAGAACGAAGTAAGTTTATTATAACAATTTTTTCAAGCTGCATATAATTTTACTATAATAGCACAACTCGTGATATAGTTGGATATTTTATTGACCAAAACTACTTACTACACAATTGAATAAAACAAGTACATTTTTCTGTTGATTGTAGAGAGATTTATTTTTTAAACACCTTGTGTGTATTTTTTTTTATAGAACACAGCTCCCAACAACAGCTTCGAAAATTCAGTCTTGGCTCCTTTTTTGGTTACAATCGTGGTGCAACGCCGAAAACTAATTGCAATGAAGTGGTATTGGATATTGGCAGCGACTGTAGTTGGAGTGAAAGGTATGTAGTTTATATACATAAGTCAAAATAACATATAATTGACTTGTTTAACCACGCAACACATATACTAATGAGAATCGATAAACAAATTATATTTCAGTACTTCGACATCATCGAACAGTGACTCCGAATCAGTTCCTCGAACGCCAGTTTTTGAGGAATTTGTTGAAAGCAACTCAAGACGAAACCGTGGATTTTCAAGTCAGGGGAATATATCACCAATCACAGGTAGCCCTGATTTTTTTAACAATAAGGATTTTAATATATTTATTTAAAACAATGATACCCATTGTACTGATGAATGATACCCCTTCCACTCCTTACTGACACAAATTGACAGATTTGGATGAAATTGTGCCCAACTGGTACTCCTAGAAGCCACGAAATAAAAGAATTGAATTGAATTGAAATTTAGTATACAAATAGACTATGGACTATACCTAGAGTAAAACATAGGAGATAGATAGAAATAAAATTTGACAAACAGTATTACATAATAATATAATTATTTAAGTCTTTATTATGTTGTGATATTTTAGATTGTATTTAATGAAAATAAAATGAAAAATGCACTATCGTTAAAAAACTTTCTTCAGCATTAAATTGTTAAACTTAATTTATGAGGAGAACTCAATTTTTACAGTTTTTACAGGTAGTGGGAGCGACTGGGAGGTGATGATGCTCGCTGATGAACTTCAGAAAAGAGAGCGGGAAATGGGAAGAGAAGATGAAAATAGAAGGTTACACTACCCATGCGGATTGAGAGATTTAGAAGAGGTTAGTTATAATTAAATTAGATAATATCATATGACTTATAGAAAGGGAGCCTGGGATGCTAAATTTGTAGTTACCAAAGCGTCGTATAGACCTATTAGATTGTGAAGATTAGGTTCTAAAACGAAAAAAGTTTATGTTAAGTTTTCCATTTTAGAGAGGGGCGGGGGTTGGGGTAGGGGAGTATCGTATACAAATTTTAAAAAATGTAAAGAAATACTGGAACGCGTCAGACACTTCTCAGTTCTCATATTTAAAAGGTAATTTGCTTTAAATTGGAAAAGTATGTAAAGTATTTATGAGATACAAGAAATGAGTCTGAACTTTCCAAAATATGTACAATAATTTAAAAATATTTCAATCTATACTAATATTATAAAGAGGTAAAGTTTGTGAGGTTGTGAGTTTGTGATCTTGTAGAGGGTAATCTTTGGATCTACTGAACCGATTGAAATGAAATATGGTAAGAAGATAGTTTGAGACTCTGGGAAGGATATAGGATACTTTTTATCTCGGCAATCATTCCTTACGGGGGTGAAAATGGGGATGAAAGTTTGTATGGGGAATCAAGCTGGGGATGAACCCGAGCGAAGCGAGAGTGAGTCGCTAGTTTAATATATTTGTAGAAGGATGTACTTTTATCCAATCGAAAAATTACACAAACGATATTTTTTTAGGAATCCGACACCCCACAACGAGAAGATAGTCCAGATGATCTTTCTAATTTGGACGATTCGAATTCTACTACACAATTACTATCGCAGTCCAATAGTGAGGCTTCACACAGGTCACTTGAGACTTCTTTCACTGAGAGCAGTACGGCAAGACATCGAGTTGGATCTGCCGGTGAACAGGTGTGAACTTAATAGTTTAAAAATAGTTATGATCTTTTGAAATATTATATGAAAATATTATGTGAAAAAAAAATGATTTTTAGACATTATACTTCTGAAATAATTTAAAATGATTAGTGTTACATTACCCAATGATAATTAATTAATTTAATCAAGAAAAAAAATGCAAACCGTGTTATTTGTAACATTTTATTAAAAGGGCCGAGTGTAGTTATTGAGTTTTTTTGGTAAAAATAATCTCACTAACAACCCGGAGTTTGTTGTTTTATTCCCGTACTTCGGAGAGCACGTACAGTCCTGCCCTGCGCCAGATCTCTTACGATGTCGAGTAGAAATATCGTTCCACATGAGTTTGAGAGTGAAATGAATAGAAAGGCACTTGTGCAATATAATATCTCCCGTATGATTAAACTAGTCTCAATGAGATAAGCTGCCGTGACCGAAATCGGTCAGCACAGGACATGATTATTATTATACTAACCATTACGTTTCAAAATATTATAGGTACGACCAGAATCTTCATTACTCCAATCCCGAGGACTTATACTCCGAGCAGCAAGTCTCGACAGAGAAACAGCAAGTTCTTGTCAAACTAAAAGATTCGGATCACTTAAGAGTTCTAGCACGGATTCTCATAAGCGACTCTGATCCGCTTCTCAACACGGTCAAAATAGGGCCAAATGTTATCCAAAATATTTAAATAAAAAAAAATATATGTTAGAATATAATGATAGAATTAACATAAATAAAATTGCAGAAAATATGGAAATAGGAATAGTGAAAAATATTGATCGGAATGATTCAGGTGATGAAATTGAACGAGATTATAATTCTTTTATATCGGATCATAATTTTGAAGATGATCAAATGAATGGGAATGATTTAGCTAGTGGGTTAAGAAACGAACGAGAGAATCGACACGACGACCAACTTATTGTTGGCAGTCAATTATTAATAAACATTTTAATTATAAATAATATACACTTTTTGATTATTCATTATTTAATACGCTGAACATTTAATTGTTCAATGCGATTAGGTATTTGGATTAGAGGTAGATAGTGTATGCCAAATCTTAGATTTAAAATAATATTTTTTTCTATTTCAATTAAATGGGACTAAATGTTACATAAATACCTATATTAAAAAATATTTAAAACTGAATCCCACTCAGGTAGAAGCATAAAGAATAATATCTTTAGGTTATAGTCTTACATATAAAATTTAAATATTATTTATTATTGAACTAAACGGTTTGGCCGAAAACGCAGTTGTCTTTAACAGTTTAAGAGTGGCACAATTTTATCAGTTGTAAAAATATATATTACTCTATAAACACTGTCCCTAAAATTCTTGTTAGCTAGGTTTACATAAAATATATTGTTTAGAAAAGAATAGTTATTAATATAAAATGCCTAGTGCCAAAAATTTTAATACATAGGTATATTACGTAAACATAGATAGTAAAAAATAGATTTTAGAATTGGAATAATTTTTGAAATTAAAATATCTATCTGTATGAAGTGTAGCCATTTTAAAAATATTAATAAATATTTTAGTGGTATCATCTCATCATCAATAGTACCTACATTCAATTATATATCAATTTAGATACATATTTATATAAATTATTTTTATTATCAGAGTATAAAAATTATTTTCTAAGATATTATGGAAAGTATGTTATAAATTTTGGTACTTATCTTCTAAACTAAAAAGTTTATACTCTCTTCAAAACTAAACTAAACCAAAAAAAATTACCGTAGTATCACGGTAATGCAATATGTAATACTACCGTGGTAGTATACTTTAAGTTGTTCATTCTAAAATAATAACATCGCCAAGTCATATTTTTATAAATTAATATGACTGGGTGGTTCCCAATAATTTTCTGTAATATTCGTACTAGCTGTATAAGTTGTTTGGATGTCCCTATAAATGGTACCAAAGAGATGGTAAATTATTGGGATTCAATAGTGAAACACATTTATCTTAAGTTATAAATAAAACTGAAGTCTCTATACATGAATACCCTATTTGATATTATTGCATATAATAGCTACCGTATATATTTATTTGCACGTTTTTGTACGTGTCTATCAGCTGTTTGTACCCGATATTTATGGAACGATTGAATCGATTCTAACGCGACGCGTTTAAAATAAATGCCTGGTACTTTTCTTGCCGAAAATAAAAACGTTCTTGCGAGATAAAAAAGCTGCATGGGTGATTTGGTATATAAAAGATTTTTACCATGGATTATAATAGTAAAAGTCTATGTAAAGTGATGACGTGATACTAATATTAAAAAAAAATGATGAAATCTATTAAAAATATTTCCTCATTATATATTTATGTACTTATAATATTATTACATGATTGAGAAAGTTTATCGTGGGTGCTAATTTGTGGTTTTACTTTCCATAATATTCAAAATATTACTTATTTATAAAAATGCTCGGAAACCCCATATTTACAAGTTGTTCCTATAAAACCGAATTTTCGTATATCCGTGCAAAACACTATAAATGTAACAGAATAATAAAATATTTATATTACATTACCTTATATTATTTAAATGTAAATATTCGCGCAAATTATTATTTAAATTAATGTTGTAATTATTAAAACATACATATTTTAAAATGTGTTATAATATGTATCTATATATGAATTATTGAACCACAGATAATTAATACATTGAAACTAACGTACCCGACAGACGTGGTCCTGCCCGAACGTTAGTTTAGGTCCGCCAGTAATATAAATAAAATAACCCGACTGTAGCACCACCTACCGGATCCAGTTGTGACTCTAAGCTATCCTGGGAACCTCAAAATACACACAAACAATTTTATCAAAATCGGTCCAGCCGTTTATGAGGAGTTCAGTGACATACACACGTACAGAAGAATTATATACTATTTAATCCCTCCACGACCGCGGACACGCCGACGTTTCAGTTAACAATAGATTTCTTAGAATTTTAATTGATTTCTTAGAAATTTACCTGGAAGTGTTAAAGATGTAACCTGCGCGACCAAAATAGCACAAGATATAACTAAGATCCATTTAAGAAATTGTAAATCGTATTTATTAGTAAATAAGTATTTATTTACGTAGATTATAGAGCTTTGTAAAATGCACGTATAATAGTATTGAGTGTATGATTAAATGTCATAATCAAGTAGATGTAACTGTTCATGATAAAGAAATTAATAAATAAAATTTAATGAATATAAAATCGTTTTATTGCATCAAAGTTTAATGTTGATTAATAATGATGAAGGACTTTTTTAGGCATTTTTTTAGGCAAACCAAACCTACAGTTATTTGTGCATAGCAGATAAATTGAAGAAGTTATGGGTATTACAATTGTCATTTTTTTTATTTTCACATAGAATTCCTAAAATATCTAAAGATATAGATAAAGAACTAAAGTTCGAGATACTTATTCCTTGCTTATATTCTTATATTCAGTACTTTTAAAATCGTCAGTAAGTTACATAATTTATAATTATAATTTTCAATACATATTACAAACAATTCGTAAATTGTAGTGACCTACAGGGTGCTACCGACAGTCGACACCTCTGACCTCTGTTCAAAAGCGCGGGAAAACAAATGAATATCCGCGCTCTTTTTTTTTAAACACATTTCTATCGGCCAAGGTCACATTATAAATGCCTTATACATAAATCATTACAAATTAATCAAATATATTATTTTCTATTAAAACACTCAATATATAAAAATGCAACCTTACATAGGTATAATAATATAATAAATATATAACATTATTTTTTTGGATAATCTTATTGAAATAGTAATTAGCATATTGCATATTTTAGCATTTTTCGAATTTTATGTACTAGTGATGGCAACTCTTGCTATAGGATTGACAAATTGTTCACATCTTCATCATATATTTACTCTATGGAAGAGATTGAACTAAAACCGGAATTTACTTCTTTGGCCATTTCTATTCTTTCTTTGCCGCATTTTATTGCTGAGATAGAACGAGTATTCAGCCAAATGAATGTAGTCAAAACAAAATTAAGAAATCGAATGTCACAACATACACTGAATTCGATTCTACTCATCAGAAACAGCCTTAAAAGATCAGGAAAATGTTGTCATTCCTATAACGTTCCCGATGATGTATTAATATTTAAAACAGATAAGAAGGGTAAAGAGTCGCTTGTGATGCCAATGACTATTGATTTTGAAGATATCCCATCAACATCACAAGCACAAGCACAAGACCAAGCCGATATTGATGATTTACAAATATAATTTAATATACCGAATTGATTAAATTTACTTTTTTTTTTAATTACACTACCTACTCACAATTATTTTCATTTATTAATCATTTTAACAAGACTTAGCAGTTGGCATTTTTTAGCATATTAAAGTGTAATCTAGCACTTTTTTAGCATTATCGTCATAAAAATCTAGCATTATTTCCATATACAAAACGGCAACACTTTATTTGTCATCCATCATATCCTATTTCCTACCAGTGGTCTCGAACCTACCGATTTTTCGGTATTTCTACCGATATGAGGTCTGTCCTACCGAAATACCGAAACGAAATGTTCTTTTCACGATTTCAAAGAAAACGTGGAAAATATCCCGATTTTTTACCGATTTTATAGTTCAAAGTTGGCAACCATTTTCATTTATGTTTTATGATACGGAGAATCCAAAAAATCCTTCAAGAGTATTAATATACATATTTATTTCCGGGAATTGGGTCCTACAACTAGATGTTTTAAGGGATTCCCAAACAAATTATATATAAATAATTCGGGGTTTTATTTTTCATTAATTTTATTAACTTCGAAGACAAAGTTTACACATTAGTTATTTACAGCAGTCTATTTTGAAACAACTTCATAGGATATTTTTTTTATATTTAAAAACAACATCTAATCTGCCACAATGCTTTTTTTTTTTTTAACGTTGGGAAATGCATTTACGCACGACGTGTGGGACTCACCGGCGTAATACAGCCAGTACTACCCACTAAAACCCAACAAAACCTTCCTCCGTCATAATGGGGCGTCGCAGGATCGCTTACGCATTCAACTACGACGCCCCGACGGCAGGTCTGCCAAAGCAGACCACCACAACCATGGGGTTGCTCCAAGGTCCACTCTGCTATCAGAGAAGTACCAGGAGCAACCCGCAAGGTACACCGCCCCCCGAAGAGGGCCACCTCCCACCGCCCACCGAAGTGGGCAACCTCCCTGTGCGTTTCTTAGCTTCGCTACTACTACTGCCACAATGCTTACGATAACATGTCACCATGTTTATATTATGATTTATGACTTAGACACACCATCGATACCTATTTGGAAACTATTTTGGTATCTTTATGGTCATTTCAATATCTTTTAAATATTAATGATAATGGAAATAATAATAAATAAACTTTATTTGAATGAATACTGTTGTTTTTTCATCTACCGATTATGGGTCCAAATATACCGATTTTTGTAGGCAACTCTACCGATTTCGCACATTGACGTTCGAGACCACTGTTTCCTACCCATGCTTGGGTAGCCCTGGCCCCTGAGCCCATAATGTCATTTGTCAATTGTCATTTGACACGTCAGTTTACACTTTACAGTTAGCATTTAGTCAATAGTGAATGTAAATTATTTTATACTTTACAAGTGGTCACAAAAATAAACATGATCCTTTAATGACTATGTAGTAAATAAGTAATCACTGCATTCTTATGAAATGAGACAAATTTCCCTAAAAGTTAATTGCGTGACAAACCAAATTTTCTACCTATTTCACTGGTGTTTTGTCAAATCGTTTTTCAGAGAAAATAATGTCGCCCCGTAAACAACCAACTAGTTTATTTAGATTATGTATCAAAAGTTCTCTTAGTTTAATTAATGATAGTTGCTATCTTATCGAGAAAAGTTATCCAGAAATAGAATTAAACGAATGTAAAAAAAGGATTTTTGCGTTAAAAGATTTTCTGATGGCTACACTCCCTGCCAGGTATGTGTGTTAAATGTAATAACACTTGTCATTTGTTAATATTTTCCAACTATGTGAGTCATAATCAAGATTTGAAAAATTAACAAATAATTCCTATTCAAATTGTTGTTGTAGCATTGTTATTACATTATATATTACATAAATAATATATTTTAAATAAATTGTACTCAGCCCTTTTTAACGTTCCACTGCTGGGCACGGGCCTCCCTTCAATACGAGGGGCATATAATTACTAGTTCATAATTATATTTTGTGTGTTGTCTTTATTACACAAAAATTCTATAGTAAAAAGCACTTTCTGTTTTGCTTGAATTTCCCAATTTTCTTCTCAAGTTTTCTATTTTATTTCTCTATAATTCTTATTGGAACTATAACAAACATTTAAAAAAAATGTGAAATCAGTCTGGCCTCTTTTATGCAATACATTAACAAGTCATGTCATGTCATTACTCATTGCTATGTTTTTACAAGTTTTTTTGTAAAATATATTTAAGACTGGTTTCGCAAATTCTTAATAGAAAGTTCATATTAACTTATTTTAAAAAATACAAATAACTAATTATTGACAATATATTCCACTTGTGTACATAAAAATTTGACTTTATGTTAATCCAAAATTATAAGCTCCATTTCATGATCATTGTCTTTTTTTAAATCTTGATGCATATCTATTGAGCACAAGCAGCTCTTACTTAACAAATTAACAAACATAGTTTCTGATAAGTTAATTTTTATGTGGTCTAATTTTTATATCTAAAATCACATAGAGTAGGCAATGATTTCCCTATTGAAAAACTACTCTCCAAAAAAAGAAAGGTTTATTGGTTTCTATGTGGCTTTTGTCGCTTTTGATGAGATGAGTTATTAATGTATATTACATGTACTCATAAGTATGTATTTGTGTATATTTACATATCTATATGTATGTATGTTTTTATGTTTGTAAACATAGTTCATCATTGTATTTAGTATTAATTGTACCGTCCCGTCTACGGTTCCATTAATCCTTTCACCAAAGATTGTCTGTAAGAGATCGCTCATAGAGTCATAGCAATAAGATGCCTTTGCATGCCTTTTTTGTTATTTTTTTTCATCTTCTGTATTCTTCTTTTCTGTGTGCAAAAAAGTATTTATCTATCTATATATCTATTTTTTTAATAAAAAATCAATATATATATAAATTGGCCAAGACAAAGTAGTTCAGTACCTTTTTCTCCTCTGTTTGCCGACTAATTTTCTTTTTTCTTGTCATGTTTAGTAGCTATTGACAACAAAAGCTCTAGTACCTATTATCAATAAAAAAAATTTAGAAACAGTTTTTATATAGATAGGTAAATTCTATTCGAGTATGTTTTCCTGAAATTATAAATAATTATGGTTGAATTTTCACCACTAGTTTTACATTACTTTATATATAAACATATTTATAAAGCAATTATATAAAACAGACAGAGATAAAATAGGTTATAATGAAGAGCAAGTTCATTGTTTTCACTTATCATTTTAAAATACTTATATTTTCGTCTTCACCTAGCTACTCGGCACTCGGTTACATTGGTATGTTAACATATAAAAATAAAAAATAACCATGTTAACCTTCTATTAGCATAGAATTTCTAAAATCCAAAAGTTTTCATTCAATTGTGTCACATATATACAAACTCTCATATAAGATCTTTATAACATTGTAAAATAATGAATCATTTTTTCAGGTATATTCGTGTAATATATGTATATTATCTCAGGTATATTACCTATAATCTAATACCTAAAGATACCAAAAGTTAATTGGAAGTTAGGTAATGTAAAAAAATTTTAAACTACAATATGTACTCATCCAAATCCGTCCAGTCGCTTAAGCATGAAGGAGTAATATCAGTTACATGTACACAAAACTTTTGTACTTTTAATAGTTGTCCAATAAATTAACTAATTTCAATTATTCTAACCAAACTTTAATTTTTCAGGTTATTTGATGTCCTCTGTTTAGAAAGAGGATGTTGTCGGCACCGCGGCGATCCTCGTATCCAGCTCCATGTTCTCATCCATCCAAAGATGTCTATATTTCGCAAATGCAACGTTGACAATGGCATATCTCAACATTTTTGGATCAAAACTATCCCTTGGTTAACACACTTAGTCGTTCTTGACCTAAAATTCATCTGTACTGATGAAATCCTAGAAATTATTGCCACTAAATGTCCTCTTCTTGAAGAATTGAATATAGTGTCGAGGGTTGATGTGTGCAAGTCCCAAATAAATGCTTCCGTGTTGATCAGGAACGTTTCTGATGTAGGTCTCTGCTGTATAAGCAATCTTAAGAATCTACGAATCCTCTCAATGGACCCGCCGAGAAATGAAAAAGCTAGTCGAGTAGGTCGGTGTGTGACACAATCTGGCATCATTATGTTACTACGAGAACTTTCCTACTTAGAAGAGTTAAACATAGAGTCCTGCGACATAGGTTCAACTATTATAGGTGCGAATTCCAACATTGGTCCGTTAAGTCTTCGAAAAGTCAATTGTCACTTTGCATCAGCTGAGGGTATTCGTAAATTAATCAAAATATGTCCCCATTTAAAAGAACTTTCAATAACTCATTTATCTTCTAATGATAAAGAAACAATTCTAGAAGAAATCACAGCCAGTGATTTGAGGTTGACCAAATTGAACATGTCCTTCTTTTCTTACACTCAATCCTTACAGCGTCTTCTAGAAGTACAAGGAAGGTACTTAACACATTTCACGTTATGGGAAATCGATCAGTTTGTTAGTATCGATTCTATTGTAGCTATAGGCACCAGTTGCCCAAATCTGACTTCGCTATGTCTGATGACTCAATCTAATAATTTGTTTATACCAAGATTCTTCAAACGACCCGAAAAAATATTTTCGGAACTACGCAATTTGACGTTAGGTAACGCAAGTTTTAATCTAGAAGAAACGTTGCTATTCTTCTTGGACTATTCAAAAAAGTTGCAGAAGTTGACATTGAAATATCAAACAAAATTGGTCTTTGGGGAGATTTTATTGTGTATTTTACAAAAGGGTTATTTAAAAAATATTACTAATTTATGGTTGGATTGTACTTTGGAAGTTTCTAAAGATATTATTAAACAGATTATACAAATGTGCGATAAGTTGACGACTCTGACTGTAGATTTTACGGAGGACGCGACCGATGTTATTGAATATATAAATACAAATAATCTTGATTTGAAACTAGGAGGTTACTAGTTTATTTTTAAATTTGGAAATATTTTATTATATTATTAATTAATATTCAAACACAAAATAAATAATTTTTCATTTTAATGCTGTTTCATTCTGTTTACCTTCAAGTGCCCATCTTTAGTTGTAAGTTTATGAATATCTGTACATATAATTAAATTCTGAGTCGAATCTGTACAGTAAATACTTTTTTGGCAAATCTTATTGAAATAGTCATTATTGATACGGAGGCCGAATCTATAGTTTTTAGACTATATCTCTCTGTCTGTCTGTCTAGGAACACATCATCATCATCTAGAACATTAGGGTCAACATACTTATAGGATACTTTTTACTACGGGAAAATATCTCTGAGATATCTACTAAACGCTAAAACGTAACTAGCCCTGTTGAAAAACTCCAATAGAATCCTATCAAAAGGGACAAAAGCCACGTAGAAACCAATAAATATGTATTGGTTTCTATGTGGCTTTTGTCGCTTTTGATGGGATCCTATTCGACTTTTTAAATAGGGCTAGGGACGAACCCGAGCGAAGTGAGGACATGGTTACTAATTTCTAATAAAACTTCCTTATTTTACTTCACGTAATTTTATTTTCACATTCATTTTATCCCATTATTATTATTAAATAAAAAAAAATATTTACATTAAATACTTCTTCTAAAATCTAAAGGGCACACCCATATTACAAATTAAGCAAGTACGTAATGCATTAAATTACGCATCATTGGAAGCCATTTTAACGTAGGTATACGGCATATGAATATAGAAATAAATACTAGAACACGCTTTGTTTTGGAGGTTATTTAGAAGGAATATGATGCGACAAATTGACAGAAGTGGGATTCATAGAAAAATAACCTTAAAACAAAATAAAAATGAAATAGTAAAATAATGACAATGTTACCTTTTTTTAAATATTATTTTAGGTAAAAAAAATGTGTCGACTATTTTATACAAAAAAATATCATACTTAATTTCTAAACAAACTGAATTTACTTAAATTAGTAGGTAAGTCACATAATTTAATGAAATAAAAATAGTATTAAAGTAAATTTTTAAACAAACTAAATAACATATATAAAATATAATATATTAAATCTTAATATAAGAGATTAAGATGAAAATTATATTTTATGTAAACTAAGTCACACATTGTGTCTGAATTTTACAAAATGTCTAGGGTTCACCCAAACAAGAAGTAGGGAGTTTTAACCATGACATATAAAAACTCACCCTCGCTTCGCTCGGGTTCGTCCCTAGCCCTAGCTTCCCAATACAAACTGATCCCATTTTCACCCCCTTAAGGTATCATTTCTAGAATAAAAAATATCCTATGTCCTTGCCAGGGTCTCAAACTATCTTCTTACCAAATTTCATCTAAATCGGTTCAGTAGATCGAGAGATTACCATCTAAACCTCACAAACTATACCTATTAATATTAGTATAGATAAATATAATTATCTTACATTTTGAAATAACTGTCAATTTCTTTTCTAAATATTGTTGTCATGATGAGGAAACTGAATAACTTAAAGTAAATCTGTCAACTCAAAGTTTTATTTTTAACGCCATTTTTTCACTTTTTCGTACAATTTTTCAGATATTTCCTTCACCCAAACCTTGTCCTGACAATTACAAACACAACAAAAAAAGAATTAGCCAAATAGGTGCAGCTGTTCTGAAATAGTTTGCTTACATACATTTGGCAATTGATTTTTATTTATATAGAAGATATTATTATTTTATTGATATAGATCATATACATATATATAAAAATATTCTCATTTAAATATAAGACTACGTACAATTTATTATTACTATAAAGCACAGATATTCAATTAAAATATTTTAAACAAATTACACAATGCAAATAAAAAAGCTCGTTCCCAAACAAAAGAAACTGGACAGCTTAATTTGGGCCATCTATTGACATTTAATTGAACTAATTTTTCTGTCAAAAAGCAGCTATAACGCAGTGGCAACACGCTCACTTAGGATTTAGGAACCAGGTGAAGCGGGAACAAATCCTGGGTTGCACCTGTGATATTTTCATGTGCAAATCATTTTCAATATGATTTCCACTTGCTAATAAGGTGAAGTCAATCATGCATGTCTGAGAAAACTCAACTTCATTCCTCCTTTGATTGAAAAGAGGCTGGTGGCCGACAAATGAAAGATAAAATGATTAAATTATTATTACATATATGTATTTTTACATATTTATTTATTTAGGTATATTAGTTATTATATTTGTTTTAAGTTGTAGCCATTACAATATCAATAATATAGTACCCCCTATTTTTTTAAGGATAAAATGATCTTTACATATAAGCAACAAAGGGGGTAAATATTCTTCTATGGATAAATATATATCTTATATTTATATGTTATCAATATGATAACCTAAACTACCTGAGAATTTTTTGATAAAAAACCCCAATACCCATTATTGAACAACCAACAAACCATTTTCACTTATATTGACTTGGACAGTGATCACTAGATATTAGTAGTATAGTAATATTTTAAATAAAACTATCTTTAGACATCTCAAAGGTGTTATTACGTATTATCTATAACCTTAGTCTCTTCTGTAACCATGATTACAGTAAATGCATTTGAAACTTTGGGTACAAAATATCAAAATAAAACCGAAAAGATAGTTCTATTTAAAATATCAAATATTTGCATATCTTAAAAAGTGTTACTAATAATATTACAAGATTTCTATTCATTCCAATATGTATAAATTTTAGGAATATTATTTTTTTACAAAAAGGCAGTTAATACTACTAGCATTTTCAAGTCGCATATATTATAACATTAGCAAGTACAATTTTTCATACAAAATTTGCTTCGTCGGGCCATTGGTATTGAACACATGACCTGACTTGGACCTTACAACATTTACATATATATTTGCCTATCTTATTGTATTGTTCAACTAATAAATAACATTATTTGAACTTATTTGATATACAATTCTCTCAACTAACCTACTAGGAATAAAGTTACATTTAAAATTGAAGGTGACACATTTCAATGTTCTTATTATTTTAAATTCAATTGCTTAAATTGTTTTTATTATAAAACTAGCTGACCAGACAGACCTCGTTATGTCAAATCAAGTGTGTAGCAGGCCCGATTAGTAAAATTGTGTTTTTACATTTTTCTGGGCATTTTTTCTAATATTTCTCCTTCCTCAGACTTAAACTAATATTTGAATAAAAAGAAAATAGCTGAATTGGTCTAATTGTTCTCGAGTTTTGCGCGTAGCAACACACGTAGCGATTCATTTTTATTTATATAGATAATCTACTTACTAAACTCTAAATCGCAACTTTTTTAACACTAATCACTTGACACTTCAGTCCAAAACGTCACTGTCACCAAAATGTAACTGTCACTTAAACATCACTGTCATGCATGTGTCACATGAACTTCTTCTTGTACTTCTTGAAGGGCTTCTCATGTCAGGTGACCACCGGTGGGGTGGCTTCCTCCGTATGCTATGCTTCCTTTACCTCTGGCACAGATTCTTTATCGTTGTCTTTTTCGTCTTCGAAAAATTCATTTTTGGGCTCTACCATTTTATCGGACTCTTCTTGACTGATTCTTATGTCTGGATCAGGCTCTTCTTTTATCCTATATTCTTCTGGCAAGAAGTCACCTGGAAGGACCAATCAGAAATAGGGTTATTAATTGTTATTGTTTTTATAATACAAAAAAATATCATGCAATATATTTTTTTTGAGGTCTCAATAATTCTTTAGACCTTCCAAATGAATAATATAATGAAACTCAGCAATGATTATTAACAGAAAAAGGGCAGTAACAATGCATCAAAAAATTATACAAACTGTTTTTTGGCTTCTATAACCTCCCAATAACAAATATTTCATGAAACAACTTTAAGCCTAATACAATTTTATTATATGTATAGGTTTGAAAAAAAAATATAACTACCTATTTTAGTTCACGGCTCATATTATGGGTATATTGATAAAAGATTTTGATTTTCAGTTTTTCTTTTATGTTGGGACATTAACACACGTCTATCTACTTTCATAGTAAGTTATGACGCTTGTGTTATAGACATGGCCTAAGAGCCTGTGAACGCCTGACCTTCGTCATTTTATAAAAGCTGAAAGTTTGTCAGCGCATGCTCCCAACACAGATAAGAACGATGAACCATTATGAAGTTCAGGCTATGGTGGCTTTGGCAGGTACACGGTACTAAAGGTGTGTAAAATACCGATCTAAATTCGTCAAATAGTAAAGTGTGATTTTTTGGTATTACCTTCAGAATATTATTAAAAGTCACGTCATTCAATGCCAGACATCTGAATCTCGGAAACGGCTCCAATTTCTTGGCTTTTCATGAAATTTCGTATACAGGGGGTTTCTATTTTTTTATTATTCATTCAAGTTTTTAGTTTAAAAAAAATTGTACGTTAGGCCAAAAACTCCCAGCGAAGCTCGGTGGTCCAAGTACTATAACTTTAAGTACAAACATATTATAAATATAAACACCCATGACTGGAGTACAAACATTCGTGCTCGTCACACAAATGAATGCCGCTGGGAAGTGGAACTCAAACCCGCGATCGCTGGCACAGCAAGTAGGGTCACTACAAACTAAGCCAATTCTATTTTTTTCAAATTGGAATTTCCTTTTCTAACTACTAAAGCGCGAATAATTAAAAGCAAATACACATACATACATACTTTTTCATATTTATAATATTACAAACCTGGAATGTGAGTCATTTGTACAGCTGGTGAGTGTTGACACATCTTTAGATTGTCGTAGACATGTTTCGTTATCGCTTCCAAGTACTGTTTGCTATTCGCGTTCGAAGTACTGCAATAAAAGAAATAACAATTTAGTTTAAAAACTATGCATCTTAGCATTATTTTCTTACTAAATATGACGTTTTCTGAAAGTTTAATCAGTAAATATAGTCAAAACGATACACTAGAAGCATATGATACAGTAACTATTTGTTGCCTCGGTGTTTATTTGTTCAAACTATTAGTACTTCTTGTACTTTACAGTAGAGTTTTTTCTTCTCATTTAAAAACAAAGCTTTATTTTTAAAGTTTATACAGGTGTCACGATAATCTGGCATCGGGAGAAAGGGCCTCTTATGACTGGCCCGTAAAAAAAAATCTGCGTTCTATACCCAGTAGTACTTGAGTACCAGCCATTTTATTGAAAAATGAAAAATATACTACCCGGAGTGGAATTTTTCGGCATTGTGACTAGAGTTTTGAATTGTTTGAAGGTTTTAATGCTGTTGCGGCCTCGCAAGAAGCCAAACTAGTTGTTGGGAAATAAAACAAATCCGAAACCAATGTTTATTTTATTTTTTCAGTCGTTTGATTAAAACACGTTATAGCTCCATTTTAATCACGTACACGGGACAACCTGTATATGTAGAAAAATTGAACGCGACACATTTCGTGTTCATGTACATTGTACATAATATATAGATAAAATAAAAGGTGTGTTTAATTCCAATTGCCATTTCAAAGACAGTAATTCTGTATTAAAACTCTTTCGATTAATTGGTCTTGGACAAATATGCTCCGAGATATCATATTGACCTAATATTATTGATATTTATATTTCATATAGATTAAAAACTCAATTACCTGCTAATTTCCGGATGTAACTGGAAGTCTGGTGCGAAGAACTCAAGATACTCTGTGTATGGAAGCTCATTGGATATGTTCTCATCTACTAGTAAAGACGTTTCATATGTCCAACATCGTGCAACATTTCTTAGGGTATAGCTGTAATTAAATTAATTCATGATTAATAAATAGGTGTATTAACTTCTCAATAAATTCAAAGTAAAAAAAAAACAATGCACGCGTGAAGTTTTTGAAAAAAGAACTCTGAACCGTTTTTTTTTAACCTGCCAGTTTGCTTCCTGCATTCGCTTAGGTACGCATTAAACCTATTTGTAAGATATTCAAATAGCGATTTTAAGTTTAGTTCGAATACGAATTTCCGCCAGATTCCTTTGTGATCATTTTTTTCTTCAGTTTCTTTGAAATAAGTTCCTAGTTGTTATGCATTGTTGGAGAGCTAAGAAATAAATAGCCAGTATAAATAGCCAATATAAATAGCCAGTGTTTAATCGTTTTTATAAATCAGAAGAAAAAATGAGATTTAAATAAATATTTTTTTTAATAAACTTTTGAAGTTGCATCTTTGACTTATTTTAAAAAAAGCTAAAAAACATGATAACTCAAAAATGGTTAACTTTCGCATAAATGGGAGTTAAAATTATCACAAATAGTCATATCACCTCCTAACGGGAATACGTCGAATTACCGATAACTCTGTATAATAATTTATTGTGCTATACAATCTATACAGATAAATAAAATTGAAGTGTCTGTTTGTAATGTCAAAATAACAGCTTTTTATTAAATACTTATGGAATTATATACGGTATTCATAAGAAAAACACAATTTTAAAAAAAATGTCTGTCTCTGTCTGTCTGTTTGTTCCGGCTAATCTCCAAAACAGCTGGGCCGATTTTGACGGGACTTTCACTGGCAGATAGTTGATATTATAAGGAGTAACTTAAGCTACTTTTATTTCAGTATAGGAATTAGAGTTCCGCTCAAAAAAAAAATGTACCTAGGGACGAACCCGAGCGAAGTGAGGGTGAGTCGCTAGTATACCATATAAAAATATATAAACCCAAAATAAATACCGCACTCTTTTTTAAAATCAATCAAATATACATGGGCAAAAACCCATTAAAAATAAAAATTCTACTATTTAACAACTATATTTTCTACTAGCGACTAACATCCTTAGCTTGCTTCCCAATACAAACTTTCATCCCCATTTTCACACCCTTAAGGATTGATTTCCGGGATAAAAAGAGTCCTATATCCTTCCCAGGGTCTCAAACTATCTTCTTACCAAATTTCATCTAAATCGGTTCTGTAGATCCAGGGATTACCACCTACAACGTCACAAACTCCCAAACTCACAAACTTTACCTCTTTATAATATTAGTATAGTTAATAAAAGTTTCATCATTTTGGAGCTAATATAACAATAAAATTACACATTACCCGCCACCACCAACAACTAATGTTGGTACATTCAGATTCTTCACAAACTTCACACATTCTCCATGTCCACGAGTGGATAGAGAAAAACAACCAAGTCGGTCTCCGGCTAATGAGTCCGCACCGCACTGTAGCACTATCGCCGTGGGACGGTAGAACTCCATTACATTGGATATTACTGGTTTGAACACCTGGAAGTAAACCCGACTACTATTATAATGTATTCAGCCCTTTTCAACGTCCCACTGCTGGGCCTCCTTTCAATACAAGTGGGATCAGGCCATACCCTATCACACTAGCCAAGTGCGGGTTGGTAGACTTTACATGTCTCTCGGAAATTATTAGCACATTTAAATATCAAAGGTAACCCCACCCCGGATTAGAACCCGATTCACTTGGTTACTCAAGCAAGCGCGTTACCACTGAATTGTTAAAGCTATTATAAAAAATAAATAAAAATAAAAATACTTTTATTGACTTAAAAGATTACATTTCAAGATAGTCGCAAGGGCCCCTGTACTAGGTGAAGAGCCGTATTACTGGGTGCCCCGCTCATCCACCAAGACTAGAAAGTCAACAGAGTGAAAACAAAATAAAAATTTACAATTAATTACATATATAAGTTTGCGTTTGTGTGTGTGTGTGCATGTGTGTGTGTGCATGTGTGTGTGTGTGTGTGTGCATGTGTGTGTGTGTGTGTGTGTGCATGTGTGTGTGTGTGTGCATGTGTGTGTGTGTGTGCATGTGCGTGTGTGCATGTGTATGCGTGTGTGTGTATGTGTGCACGAGTTACCTATGTGTACATAAAAGTGCGTAAATATGGGATGTTTGAACATGTTTTATACGACGTTTTGATTGATCATCAATTTTTCAGTCTCATCATAGTTCAATGTCAGTAGAGTTTTAGTTAGTACACGTTTTAATTCGGTTTTTGAAAGACTGTAAATGTCAAGTCTGCTGTTAAGCTTATTGTAAAGATATGCCGATTGACAGTTAAATTGCATTTTCTTAAATTTGTTTTTACTGGTAGGGATAGGACAAACGGCCTTACCCCTACGTTTTTGGATCAGACTAGGAATAAACGGTAAGTGACGGTGAACTTTAAGTACGCAATTTAATATGTAGATTTGGCGAGTGGATAACAATTTGTAGTTATTATGTAAGTCGAAAGTTGGAAAAATATAAGGTTTGAAAAACATCACTTTTAACAGAGATCTTTGCGCCCTTTCTAAAGTTATTAAATGCGTTTTGGCTGCACCGCCCCAGACAGTAATGCAGTAGCTTAGTATAGATTGCGCTAAAGCTTTATAGGTGGAAATAAGAGTCGATTCATTCGCTACATGTCTAAGTTTTTTAAATATCCAAATAAGTTTCCTCAACTTTTCAACTATGCTCTCTATATGATGTCGCCAGGTAAGGTGCTGGTCAATAATAATTCTAAGATATTTTATCTTTTCGGTTTTAGAGATTTTGTCGCAAAGGCAACTACTTGAGTCCGGATAATTACATGTATGTACTTTTAAACTGAAATGGTGGTCAGGTTGTGTAGTATTACGAATTGAAAATGTTACATAATTGGTTTTGTTTATATTTAGCGTCAATAGATTCGATCTTAACCAGCAAGAAACCTGACGCATCCCAGATTCAGCAATAAGTTTTAGCTCTTCCCAAAATTTTGCATTGAAGATGAGGGCGGTATCATCGGCATACGTATATATTTTACAATTTTGAATACTTTGGTTACAGAGATCGTTCACATAAATTAGGAATAAGGTAGGTCCTAAAACACTACCTTGTGGAACTCCATAAGAGATACTTGAAGGTTGGCTAACATGTTCACCGAGTTTTAATAGTTGCTGACGATCGGTAAGGTAATCTGCCAGCAATGCATGGGGCATACCTCTTATACCATAATTGTATAACTTGTCGAGAAGGATGGGAATGGATACGGTGTCGAAAGCTTTGGCCAAATCAAGGAACACTCCAACGCACTTGTTACCTGAATCTAAATGATTGCTTATTTCATCAGTCAAAGCCAATACCGCGTCTTCAGTGGAAATGCCGTTTCTAAATCCGAATTGGTTCTTTGATAAAAGATTGTTATCAATAAGATACTGTTTTAAGCGATTATTTATGAGTTTTTCCAGAATTTTGCTTAGTACGGTAAGTACAGAAATCGGTCTGTAGTTATCGACATCGTCCCCATTCCCACTCTTGTATATAGGTGTTACAATAGCTCGTTTAAATGTTTTTGGAAAACAACCATTTGTGAAGCAAAGATTGTAGATATGACACAATATTGGTATGAGGGCATGCTTGGCCATTTTAATAAATGAAGTTGGAATATTATCCCACCCAGAAGCAGAGTCATTCGATAGACTTTTAATAATCATGTTTACTTCAGATGGATCGGTATGGAGAAGAGCAAAAGAATTTACAGGTGGTGTTATTTTATGTGAACTGCTATTATCCACTATAATGGGGGCAGAATCTTTAAGCTTTTCAGCCAAATTTTTGCCTAAGTTAGAAAAGTGTTCGTTAACAAGGTTAGCAGACTGTACAGGGGATGTCGAGAGGGTGATAAGCTTACGTGCATTTTCAGATTTGTCCTTACTAATATAACATATGAATTTGATGGTTCTCCATAGGGTTTTTAAATTTTCTGCGCTATCTAGCTTATTCTTTTCATGACTAATTTTTAGTTTCCGTACAAGTTTATGACAAAAATTTCTATACCGCGTATACGTTATTTTTAAAATCTGATTATGAGGATTCTTTTTAAGTTTTAAATGAAGTTTATCACGTTTTCGAAGGCAGCGTAATACTCCAGGCGTAATTAATTATAATGTGTCTTTGTTAATATGTGGCTATGTGTGTCTGTTTGTGTTACTTGAACTTCTATGATTATAAATGTTGATTAAATATATATAAATAAATGAATTGATTATTTTCTATGATATTGAACTTCTGTGTTACTTCTACTTCGCTGAAACGGTTAAGCAAATTTGGATGAAATTTGGTACCTATATGACAGGAAGACATATGAATAAGAGCATATGAGTAACATATAAGGTACTGTTTAGGCCCCTGGGGACACTCGAACAAATTATAAAAATAAAGATAATAAAAATATTTTTATTTTTACTAAGAAGTTGACAACAAATTGAAGTAGGATTATAATAATATGCAGTCGGAAACATTGATATAGCACTCGCAGCAAGTATTATGTTAATTTATGACTAAAATCTGTCAATTCATTTTATAGTAATTTTAATTGAACACTTACATTGTTAAAGTAAATCTAACTGACGTGTAATTTATCAAAGTCGATTCAAGAGTAACTAGGGAATATACGGTCAAATTTACATACATATGGTAACACAAATATAAACCACGTTATGGGCTTCTCCACACTCTGTTTTAAATACTGGTGACTATAGAATATACTACTATTTCATAGAAAAGATTTAAATATAAGAAGAGTATAAATAGATTTAAATATAAAATAAGGATAAACAACATAAAAAGCATTAAAGTTTTTCAAATCTTATCTTTCATTAATGTGATATAGACACTTTTTCTGATAGTTTAAATTTATTTAAAAAGAAAGTGTATTTAAATATTTAGATTAGATTTTTTTTTCTTTTTTTTTTCTTCTTTTGTTTTTTGTACAACTGAAATGGCTCCATAAATACTCGTAACCACATAAAATTTTAATGGAATACTTTCAATAAAAAGCTGTGCATACTTTTAAATTAAATTTATATACAAATAACTAACATTATAATGTTAAATAGATGTTTTGTGTAAATTTAGTTAGTAAGCCTTTATAATAAATAAATGAATTAAAATAAAATAAAAATATTACCATTTATTTTCCATAAAACTTAAAAACACAATACCTGAACGTAGCTTTGGTCATCAATACCCTCTTTCAAAGGTACATTCACAGAGAAATATCTACCACTCTCCGCTCCAATTTCATACATATCTCCTGTCCCGGGAAAGAAATAGTTCCCATATTTATGAAAACTGACTGTCATTACTCTGTCAGTAAGATAAAAAGCTTCTTGAACACCATCTCCATGGTGTACATCAATATCTATGTATAAGACTCTCGGGTGATACTTCAATAGTTCCAATATTGCTATCACAATGTCATTTACATAGCAAAAACCTGTAACAATGTCAAAATTTATATCCCATTAATAATAAAAATGAGAAAGTTTGAATAGATGTTTATTATTCCATCACACCAGAATGGTTGAACAGATCTGGATGAAATTTGGTACACAAATAGATCTGAGTCTGGAATAGCACATAGTTTACTTTTTATCTCAGTAAAATATATGGCTCCCTTGGGATAGATTTGTTTTTGTTATTTACTAGTGATGAACCCAAGCAAAGACAGGATGATTTGCTAGTAGTACATAAAAATTGATTAATAGTACTTCTTTTGATACATCATGATGATACATAGTTTTAAACATTTAATTTCATATTATGTAATATATTTATTAATTTCATATTGCTTTCTGAATAATTTAAACCGCTATTCTTAATGAAATTAAATACCCAAAGAGTATTATTTTTTATGAATAGAATGGTTTGGAAAAGAAAATAATTTCCATATAATTTCAGATATCTAGAAAATTCATTTAATAAATGTGATTCATTATTTTAATATTTACATTATCTGCATATAATTGAAATGTAAACTTTTACAGGATAGCAATTGAAACTTCACTAAGTAAATATATGAAATAATATTCATAACAAACCTGAAGGTTCAAATTTCTTAGCATGATGTAGACCACCAGACCAATTAATAGCTATATCACAAGCATTGTTATTCAATTTCATAGCACCTTCTAAAGATGCTCCCGTATACATAGAGCAGAAGTCGAAAAGACCTTCAAATACTGGGCAGTCATCACCCACATTGTAGTGTAGCAAATCCTTTGAATAAGCTATAAAAATAAAAATATTTGTCAATACTAGAGGTCTCTCTATTTTTATATGCAACTAGCATTGCCCGCGGCTCCGCCCGCGTTCAGATGACCAAAAACCAAATTCTTAGGTTTTACATATTAGTATACTCTTACATTGTAGTTTTGGTATTTTTTCTCAGAAATGAGACATTTTCTCGCGGCAATAAGTATCCTATATGTTGACCCAGATAACCAGCTACCATCATACCAAATTTCATCAAAATCCCTCTAGTGGTTTTCCCGTGATGCGGTAATCGGACGGACGGACGGACGGACGGACGGACGGACGGACGGACGGACGGACGGACGGACGGACAGACAGACAGACAGACAGACAAAAATTCTAAAAACTATAGATTTGGCCTCTATATCAATAATCATGTCTATTTCAATAAGATTTTCCAAAAAATATTATGTGCATACAAATATGCAGTATATGTATGTACAGATTCGACTTAGTTACAATTTATTATATGTATAGATTTAAGTATCAAAATATGCATAAAAGTGTCAATGTCCCAAAAATGCAAAATTAAAGAAAACAATTAATTTATTATTTTTTACATAAAAAATATAGTGATAATAGTTTTATTACAAATAAAACCCCAGAGCAGTATTTGATTTTGCCTAGTCTTGATTTAGCACTAAAACAAAAAAGACTTTCATTAAACAGGTAAAATAATAAATATTTAATGTGTTTATGACAAAATATACATTATCCTGTAAATATAAGCTAAGAAGGCAAATCAAATTATTCAGCCTTTAATCATTACATAATAAAGTTTAAAGTTGTCATACAATAGTAACTAACAATAATACCAATAAATATATTTTAACTCCTATTATAATATTTCTAATCATGTTTTGCAACAATGATTATAAGGACGGCAAATGACATTCTAAAACACTTCATAAAACAGTATTCATAAGCACATAACATTTGCTATTATGCTGTATTCAAAATCAAACTTTTAATAACTAAGCGAGGAATGAAAATTGTAAAATATTAAGATAATTAAGGTAGGTAATTCTAACTCACTTTGAATATTTTGAGGAGTTACATTTTGCAGAAATTCAATATAATCCTCACTATGAAATCGGCACATGTCATGTGCATTCGCGCGATATGGTCTATAAATCTGCATCTTCTTATGTAAACCATAGTTTAGCACTAAACTATGAGTTACTGATAACCTATGAGGTTTCATAGGATGTCCAGGTCCATAATGAAAGTTTCCTACATCTGGATTATAAAAATAAGCAACTCTATGTTGAGTCATAGCGGAAAAACAAATACGTACTCTTTTAGTATATAAATAACACCAAGAACTAGAGCTATAACAAGTAAATGCTTGGTTAATTGAACATCACCTAACATGCTCTAATTTACTTTGATGCAATAGCGAATATTGTAAAATACAAGATAGTATACACTATTACACATGAACTACATAATGAATATTAAATAATTAAGTAATTTATTCACAATAAAATTAAATCTGAAATTTTCAATACAACAGTAACAACACAACTATGCTTGACGCAATGAAACGTCAATGATCAAACAACAAAAAATATCAAAATGACAAAATCTTTAATATCATTGGCCATTGTCAATGTCAACAGTCAAAAGACTTCAACCATGGACGAATTAGAGACTGGACCTGACATAAAATACAAATGTATGAAAACTAGTTCAACCAAGTGACGCATAACGCACACAAAGATTTTATTACATTATTATAAACACTGATACACAATACAATATTTCTAGTGTTTGAACGTAATCGATAAAATACATATATCGATGAACCAATGAATGACATTTTAGACATTGGTTAGCATAGTCATCGTATTTTACATCTTTGAATTTAAAATATCTGTATTTATTAAAATAAATGAATTAAAGAGGCAAATATAAATTTGTGTCAAATAATAATTATTTTTTAATTTGATTTATATAAATATGATGGCATTGATGGCAACATTCTGTTGGCCTATAATAATGTTAATAAACAAATGAATATCGGGTGTATATTCCATTAATATATAATAAATATTATTTTGTAAAGATGAAAAAAATATTAAGCTAATTTAATTAAATGAAGTGATTTTGTTGATTCTGTTACAGAACTATTTTAATTGGCCATTGATTGTCTCGGGTAGTTATAAAAATGTGACACTGTCCTAATATTGCTCAGTTATTAATAAACATTTGTGAAATTAGGAAAAAGAAAAAGTGATTGCAAATTGTGAAAAAGTGAGTGTTGGATCGTGAAAGTAAAATAATTAGTGCAAGTGGTAAAGTGTTTTATTACAAATTGCCAACCCAGAAGTTTAGTACTAAAACATTATTGTTTGATTTTGTGTAATTTATGTGTTGAAATAAAATGATCTTTATTATTATTACAATGGAATAATATTGCAAAGTATATAAATGTGGTATAAAATAAAATAAAAAATTAAGTACACATACTAATTATAATTTTTGCATTTATATTTTTATTTGATTTAGAAAATATTTTTATAAATTTATTGTCATCAGATTGTAGAATACTGTGGTAAAAGTATTTTATGTTATTGTACTGTACAAATAACACAATTCTTTCAGTTATTTCGTCAAATATCGATATACTTTTCGACATTGTCAAGCACTAGTCGATGTCAAATGGACTCACTCGACAGTTTTGTCATTTGTTCTGAATGGTATAATCCAGGGATTTTATGATGGTTTTCAGATGTCAACAATACATAGAAATATCGACTATATTTAACATAGTTGGATAATATGACATTTTATTTTACATTTAATTAAATTTTGTGATAAATAACGATAAATGTAATAAAATAATGTATTTACAAGTGAAAAGAAATGGTGCTGCTTCCGCCGTTATAGTTTTTACACCATTTAACTGAACATTTAGTCATTTTTGGGAGATGTTTTGTTGACAAGTAAGTGCTTGAAACTGACACAAAAAACAAACAACTTAGGCTAAAATTCCCTGGTTACTGACATGACCGTTAAAGGTACGTCCGCTTATATGTCTGGTCCAGTGGTTAATTCGTTCATGACTTCAACCTTAGAGTATACGTAGCATAAGTATACTCTATGACTTCAACTATGTAAAGAAAATTCTAAAGCAATAAAAAAGCAAAATAATAAAGAGAAAAAAAATCCATTTAAATTGACATCATTTTTAAATATTCATCATTTTATATGTTTTTGATTATTTTTTTTACTTTTATATTAATATATATGCAAAAAAATTTAAACTGTATCAACAAATAGTCTGTAAAATAATTCTGGGCTGCATATTGCATAAACTTTATAGTTTAAAGTCCTTGCAATTGCCAAAAGAGTAAAGCACCTTAATCTGTGGACTGTGAGTAAACTGATATTTATGGAGGGTAGTAGTAGAAGTAAGGAGGACCATCTCAGTGTATTAAAAAGTGTCCGTTGAAAGGGAGCAAATTAAGCTTCCACCCTCCATATCCCTCCATATAAACTGTAAATATGGAGGGTAGACCCTCCGTAACTGTAAAGACCTCCAATCATGGATGACAAATAAAATAGGTATAAAAAAACATGAAGTAGTTAAACTAACTTTTGGCGAATCTGTCTATCCCTTAATAAGGACAATAAGTTTTGACCGGGGTGCTTATTCAAATGTGCCCGCTAGTATGTTTAATTAACTAAATAATAGTCCACTTTTTGGAACAAAAACGATGCATTTGTTATTACAATGAATTATACTCCACTTCACAGAACTATACGTAGAGATCTTGAAAAATGATAGCTGCCTAAAACAGCTCAGAAGGGTTTTCCAGGAAGACAAATATTTGGCAATTAACAATTATATTTCTCGCTTTTTCTGTATACTCATTTGACATTTATATTTTATATTCCTAACTCAATGCGAATCACCGACTGTCCACTTGACATATCAAACATCTATATTCAAAATCTACGAACTGGCACATAAAATAACTAAATGTTACAGTCGGCCATCCGTTACAATAACGAGTCCCTTCGTTTTAGGCCACACTATGTCAAAAAAAAAGTTTCACAATTCATTACAATTCACTCATCTTACATTAAAAAAAGTTTTTTGAATCCTGCTACTCTCTATTTCTATATCTAATCTGTTTGTTCTTAAGAATAATCAAATATGCTGTTAGATTTTTATCGGTAAATGTATCTTCAGTAGAGGCGTGCACCCAGTGGTACAATCCTCATCTTCACTTTGTGAATCTAGTCGCTAGGTTCGATTTACTATTTCTCTTAAGGCGAGAGAATCTTAGACTGCCCACCCCCTTCAGCTCGGCAGCTAATTTATTTATGTGTCGGTCCAATCTGGCTTGATAATTATTGCTGTTTAACTCGACATCTTCCTTCACTATTTGCAGATTGAAATCTAAGTAAACATTGTTTACTTATATTTGGTGGAACATTGATCATGGTTCTCATTGTTTTGCTCTGAAACCTTTCGAGTATTTCAATATTACTATGGCTGGCTTTACTCCAGAGCTGAATGCCACAACTCCATATAGGCTTTCCGCTTTAGTATAGCTTTATAGGTAATAGACAGCCATTTTACTGTCATTTGCTAACGATGACTTACGACTGATGAGCCCATATATGCTGCGGAATTTGTGTCTAGCTGTTTCCTTTTAGTCCATATGTGTTTGCGCCGAGTGAGTCTACGGTCGAGATGTATACCTAAGTATTTGGCGTCATCAGATTGTGGGATCTTTCTTTCACAGAAGGGTAGGTTTTCCTTCTAAATGTGTAAGTTGCTTGAATCCGTTTATTTGTATTGGCTTTAATGCGCCACTGCTGGAACCATGCTTCGATGAGAGTCAGGTGTGATTGGAGTCTTACAGATCGGGTCTCAGGAATCGGGATTCTCATGGGTCGAAAGAAGTGAGGTATCATCTGCGTATATCGCTGTAATGGTATTGGCGTAGAGGGTAGATCTGATGTAAATATTAAATAAAGAACTGGTCCCAGTATGTTACCATGACCTAAGGTATTTCTCTTTTTCATTTTCTAGATTTTGATTGTTGCTGGGGAGTGGTTCGAAGACTGTATGTAGGTGATTAGCGTCGATCTTAATTTTTTTTTCACAGTCTGAGCGGACACAAGAACCCCTTTGTGTTCTCAATGATGTACTTTGTTGTTTTGGACGCTTTAGGATTCTCGTAGGCTTCCACAACGAATAGTTCGGGTTACTAGTATGTGTCAGTCTTGCGAGATATGATTGTAGGTTCTCATTTTCCACATCTTTAGTTAGCGTCTTTAGTTCTTGTGAGGCTTTATTGAAGGCTGTCTTATCTCTAAGATAGTGGGTGGTGTGCCATACTCCCCGGAGTCTACGTCTTTTGTTGATACAATTCTTAATGAACGCGGGGTATACATGTTCTTTTGTAGTTCCCGCTTTATGATGGGATGTAGATCTGTTCGGTACGTCATGAATCAATCGGTTTAATCCTTCTATTGCCTGATGAAAAAAAGGTCATTGTGAGTCACGGGTAGGCTTTAAATATACTAGAGGAATTACTCCTATTCTTTCACTACCATTTTGCTTTAAATCTCAGGGCATAATCGCTATAGCTATCCTGTCACTACAACTTGACAAGAGGATAGTTACTTCTATTCTTTCACTACCATCTTGCTCCAAGTCTTATGACCTGATATCGCTATAGTTATTATATCACTAACTTCAACTAGAGGATAGTTACTTCTATTCTTTCACTACCAACTAGTCGAGCAACCAGTCATACATAACACTCATGCTCGGCGCACATCCGCTCGAGCTCTTTGTTATGCAGACAGGTTCACTACCTATTTGTCTTATAGTTATTATATCACTAACTTCAACTAGAGGATAGTTACTTCTATTCTTTCACTACCAACTAGTTGAGCAACCAGTCATACATAACACTCATGCTCGGCACACATCCGCTCGAGCTCTTAGTTATGCAGACAGGTTCACTACCTATTTGTCTCTATAATATTAATTAAAATACTCCTCCTCTCCATCAAAAGTCATACTCATCAAATAAATAAATAAACAGAACTTCCCGTGTTTAAAGTTTGGCCAATGGTGATCACTACGGCTCTGCCTCCTACTTCGCAAATAGTGAACACTATCTTGTCGGCTCTCGTGTCCGATCGGGTTTCGGCTGCAATGCTCGCCCTCACAAGCTCTTAGCTTCTTCTATCTGGTTACGTAAAACATACAGGGGACGATTTCTTATCTCCGTCGCCTCATTTCGT